ATTTCTGTAGGTTGCTTCATTTTATGGCTTTGGGGGTTTTTGTTTTGGTTTGGTTTTTTTTCCCCAAGCTGAATTAATTGAGACATCTCAGTTAAGGGCACAAATTGCATGCCCGCCAGGCCTTACTGGGAATGGAGATGTGGATTTAGCACAGGAAAGACAGCTTGGTGGAGGGAATATCAGGTCATCTGTCCCAGGCCCCCAAGAATAAGAAGCAGAGTGTCTCCTCCACCCTGACAAGGAAGCTTCCTGTCCTTCCCCAGCATGGTCACTGTTGCCAGATTAGATTGCAGAGGAATTAAGATGACGATAAAGAACAAAGTGTTACCCAAGGGCATTGTCCTACTTGGGCATCCCGAGTCTGTATTAAAATGAACAGATATGTGTGTATCAACCACATCATTCTGCTGGTTTCCGCCGGGAGCTGGGGTGCTTTTGTACCGGTTGTCTGGTAATGGTGATAAAATACCATTTTAAAAAACCTTTATCACTGGTACACGATAAGCAGTTGGAGGACAGGGGTGCGGCCTAAAGGAAGCTCACTTCTCCGAGCTTACAGGTCATTGGGCCCTGTCACACCAACCAGCTGGTGGATATTTAATCAACCACTGTCACCTCTGGCCCCCAGAAGCACTTAATTTTAATTGATGAATGTCTGGGGAAAGAGGAAGGCTAAGACATATTTTCCCTTTACAATCATTTTTTCAGTCAGGCATGTTGACAATCCCCAGCTTTCTCATGTGAATCTTAGCTTCTTTCCATCATCATTCCCCCATTTGCTGAACAGAGCTGCCAGAAAGGAAGGGAGAGCTAATAGGACCCCCGCAAGCAAGGGGGTGCCTCAGGGGAACAATTGGGATGGTGGGGCTTATGTTGCTACCACTCTCCCAAGAACCCAGAAACCTGGCTTTTCAGAACATATTGGGTAGAGCATACTGCAAAGAGAAAAAAGAATCTGAAAATAGTGCTTAATTAGTGGGAGGTGATTTCTCATGAATGTGCAGCAAATTATTTTTCCCTCAACATTTCAACACATTCATCCAAATAACACCAAAACATTTTGGCTGTCGATCACAAATGGGATTTGGGAACTTTATTCTCTGTTTTGCAAACCACACCATTCATTGCTTCTCATCTTCTGGGACACTTAGGAGTTTTGTCTGTCTTTTGTTTCGAGAAGTGCTGAGAAAGCTATTTGTCACTCTCCTCCTGTACTTCTCATGTGTGTTCCTACAGCTGTTACAACAAATGTATCACAAGCAGACCATCTCTGATTAGAATACTTAGTTGTTTAGACCTGATGACTGAACTGATAGAGTAGAAGAGTAGGTATGTCTTTTTCTTTCTACGCGGTCAACATCTCTGCTGCTTCCTCATATTTTTCCTACCCCAGTGGGAAGCAAGTTCTCTCACCAATTGAGATCTCCCTGACCCTACAGCCATCCTCCAGACTTTTCACTATGGATCTGGGAGCTCACCTTTGTCATCAGATACACTCAGAAGCCAGCCCTGGGTGCCAAGTGAGATATCCTTATTCTCCAGAGACTCTTGCAACTCCCTTGTTTTTGAAATCCCAGAAATGCCAGTCCAAGACAAAATTCTCAAGGCCTCTGAAATTAGAGATCATGGTGAAAAGTTCAGGAGTGAAGAAAGCACTGGGTAACCCCAAGGCCCTTTTAACTGGAAGGCCTCTCCAAGCTTGAGGCCCGCCATGAGTGTTTCAAGGTTTTCCCGTGTGCTGAGTTGAAGCAAAGTTTGTGCGGGTGCTCAGAGGGCACCCTTCCTAGGGGGTTCTCCAGCAGCAGCCCCGTGGGCCATGGAGAGGAAGCCAGTCATGGGATCTCAAGGACTGTGCCTTGGTGGCTGGCAAGTTCAAAAGGTCTCTTTCCAGAGCGGTCTTAAGCTGTGCTTTGGGTGTGAGGGGGATGGTCATCTCCTGGGAGGCTCCTTCAGTGAGCGCATGCTATGTACAAGAGGCCTGCTCCAGAGTTTTAACCAGACCCGGTTCCAGCGGTGGGGAACACTCTCTCTTTAGCTTCTGGCATGAGTGAGATTAATTTTGAGGAAGATGACTCTAGAGGGAGAAATGTAGCAAGAAATAATCACTTTTATCTGTTTCATGCGTGCTAGGTGGGTAGAGGCTTGGAGTGGCAGAGGAAAAGAGAGGTCAGAAAATGGTCAGAGATCTGATAAAACAGGGCTGAGCCGGCCCCAAGTGGTTACTTCTTCTGAGAGGCTGAGGATGCCAGTTGTAACTAGATCTATTTTTTCTGTTACTTAAATTGAAAGAACTAATTAAATCCTTAATTAATGTTTTTAAACTACCTTGGGATAAGAAGTGCCAGAGAAGTTATTCTAAGTGCTAAATATTACTACAAAGGCCCAGGGAACAGTTTTGCTCCTGGGTTGCCTCTCTAGAATATGTGGGAAGGCTCATGCTGAGAAAAAGGTAATTTCAAATGCAATTGGCAAAATGCTCAAAGTAGCTTCTTCCTTATGGTTTCCCCTTCACCTCCATGCCAACTTCCCTCCTTGACTTACTGCCCCCTTCATCAAGCCCTCAGCTGTTTAAGGTGGAGGTGGGGGGTGGGAATAGCTTGTTCAGAAATAGTTTTCTTGATTCTGAGCTGCTCTGCAAAATATCGAGCCTCTCAAGTACAGCTCCAGGGGATAATGACGCTTCCTTGTGGGGTGTGTTTTCATCTGTAAAATCCTAGAGGTTACAAAAGGACCGATAAAACTACATTGGGAGACAACCAAACCAGTAATAAGCTCTGCAGGATGCCCATTTAATTTCCACAGTCCAAGTCTTTGCCCCTTGTAGAGGTTATTAGGGGGATGTTTCCTACTCCTGTCCTCTTGTCCTCTTTCCAGTAAATCGCCCAGAAAGGCACTTACTGACAGAGCAGGTGAATAATTATTAGCTAGAGGAGTCATTCAAACAGGATGCATGATTGAGAGCTAGATTACAGAGACTTTCTCTTGAAATGCCTGGGAAGTCCTTGGAAGTTTGCTTAGAAGGTCTTGATATTCTGAAAGAGTAAGGAGACTGTTAGGTCACTGTCTGGCTGGTGATACCTCTTACATGTAAGCAGAGGAGATATTTTACATCTGGGAGATTTGTAAATGCTTTTTTATTTTTTTTTTAATTACACAGATGCTCACATCTGTAGACCCTTCCCTAGTGTGGAATTGTTTTTCCTTTCCGTTGATAAATTCCCTTAATAAGTTCACCCTGCAAATTAATCTGCAGTGACCTAAGCTAATTAAAGACAGATGTAAACTCTCTAGGGACTACTGTTTTTTATTTTATCCACTTTATATTCATGTTGGGAAACATTTATTGGTATAAAGTGAATGCATTCAGAGAACATGTTTGGTTGAATGAGCTTGTTCACATAAGTGGGTAGAAGGCCACATTATAGAATCACAGGAATGTGTAAACATACAAAATAAAAAATTCTCTGAATGCTGAAATCCAAAGAAAGTCTTGCATATTTTATTTTAAAATATTTACTTTCTGATGCCTTATAGGCTCTCAAATTGAAAACTATGTTTAAATCTACAAGTTCAGAAATGTATAGGATAAAACTATGTTTTAAAAAATAAGAAGTCGTATAGATTATCTTGGATGGTGGTCCTGACCCTGCCTGTATGTTAGTGAATCTGGGGCACCTTTAAAAGCATCAGTGGCTGAATCCACCCCAGAATTCCTGAAATAGCTAACCTGTGATGGGGGTGGGACCTGGGTAGCCACGAGAAAGGTCTCAAGGAATCTAGTATATATGACAACTCCATGTACATGGTCAATTGACTTTTCTCTTATACACTTTTCCTTGTATTTAATTTATTTTCCCACCCACCACGCTTGACCTAAAATAGCAAAAAAATTCTCTGGCCCCAGAAATGAAGCAGTTCTCCACACCCTTCCATTGAGGAGTGTTGCTGTGGTCCAAGGGCCTGAGGACCTAGTGTCAGCATCAGCATCTGGACACTGAGGTGTTCACCCAGCACAGTCCCCTGGCCTGTCAGAACCCAGGACTTGGAGTCAGAGAGCAGTGTAGATCCCTCTTCTGTTCTTTCTACTCTAAGTGACCTTGGTTTACACACACACACACACATACACACACACACACATTGGCTTAGGTCATTGCAGATTAATTTGCAGGGTGAATTTATATACACATATGTGTATGTGTGAGTGTGTGTGTGTGTGTGGGTGTACATTTACCCTGTAAATTGATCTGCAGTGACCTAAGCCAATTAAAGACAGATGTACTCTCTAGGGACTACTATTTTATCCACTTTATATTCACATTGGGAAACACACACATACATATAGTTTAATTGATATAAGCTAATTCATATTCAACTGAGGGCCAGAAAGAGTACATTTTATAAAATCTGAAAAAGGAAATCTCATCTGAAAGAGGAAATCATGGCTTCCCAGACTTGAGAGAATAAGAGGCATGTAAACAGGTTCTGTCACCTCTGCAACACCACAGAACTAGCAAGTTTTGTTGTCAGCTTGTGCCTGTGGGAATTACTCTGAGTCCCAGAAGGCCTCTGCCTCCTGAGGGAGTTTGAGGACAGGAGGTCTTGAATCCCAGCTGTGCCCACACTAGGGATGGGATCAACAGCTGCCAAGACCACACAACACTGTGTGGATCCAGCCGTGCCAGAAGCACCATTGAAATGCTGACTAACAGGAGTATTCGGGTCCTTCCCACAGAATGACGCTGTCTTCTGATTACCCAGTTTCCCCCAGCACAACAATCTACGTGACTGCAGGATTAATGGATGTGAGAGGCAGAGGGGGGTATATTGGTCCCAAGCATGGTCTGGAATCCAGCTCTGTTAGGTTTGGTCCAGGTTACTTTCCCAGAATGTCCTTCAGCTTCCCCATCAGTGCAGTGGGGATGAATAACTCCTTACCAGTTCACTCTAAGACTGAAGTCAGTTCTGATCCATTCAGGCTAACCTGTTTTTCCTCCCCCCAGTGCCTAACCCCTCCTGTAACGGCTTTGACAGCGCCCTCTCAAGGCCTTGCCGGGTGCCACTAGGAAAAGAGGTTTGCTTCATCGCCACCGTTCGTCTGGCAACACCACAGTTCCTAAAGGCAAGTACCCAGAGGAAAATTGATCGCACAGAACTAGAGTTCAGTCACATTTAGTTATATTTAATTTTTATCTTTATGGGAAAGGACAAAATGACAATGAAGTTGTCACTCACTCTGAATTTTTAAATGGCTGGCTTCTGTACCTGTGACAGCCACACATGCTCTTTCCACTCACTCTGGGTTCCTACAAGCTCTTTAGTTTGAAGGCAGCATCGATTGCTGTTCAGCCTGCAGGGATGCTCTTTTATAACTCTGTAAATTTTCCTACTTTCATGCCAACATTAATACCACTCAGGGCGGGCAGAGGTGAGAACTGAGTGCCAACATGGAGGATTTGTCTTTACTCTCCCATCTGAGATTGCTTCAACAACTGTGGCATGAATATTGAGTTAAATTAGTCATTCAACTTCAGATGAAAAGCCATTTTCCACATGTTTATCACACTTCTAGATAATGGGAAGGGAGTGGTGTGACATTTTGGCTCCTAGGTATTTTTCCCCAGCTGGGGAATAAATTTAGTATCAGTATTACCGAAATTACCTACAGATATGACAGTCCAACACAACTTGGAGACTTGCTCTCAATGACTTTAGCTTCTATCAAACACCATGAATTCTTGAACAAACCTAGGGTGACCATCTGGCAGCCCGTGCAACATTTTTGTCCCCCTTCTCATACAGGAAATGTGCATAGTTGACGAGCCTTTAGAAGAATTCACTTCAAGGCATAGCTTGGAATGGAAATTTTTATTTCTGGATCACAGGTTTGTGACAAGAAAAATATTGGGGCTGATTCTTTTCAAGTGTTTGCTTGCATGTGCCCTGCTCTTCTTGTGAGAGAGGCCAGGCCAGGGCCCTCCCCAGAGAAGGGCTCTGTGGCTGTAGGAAGAGCAGTTCCCTGAGGGTGAGATGTTCTCCCTCATTTACCTGCTTTGTGAGTGTTTCTGTGTTTGGTTCACACCATCTCAGGGGAGCCAGATGCTGGACACCAAAGACCTCTGGTCTTTGGGGAGTACCCCATCCCCTTCAGTACCCTGAACCCCAGGGGGGTCCCCCCCAAGTCCCAGTATGCAGCATCTGATAGAAGAGAAATGTCTTATCTCTTTCAACAACTTTTTTATTTACCCCTTTGGCCCAATCTTTTCGGTAACAGCTTTCACAGTTGAAGAACTAGAAATCTCCCCATCTCACTCTTTAATTTTTTATTACACTTTGGTACTGGGCTGACCCAATCTATAGCAGGTTTTGATTAATTAGTAGTGCAGACATTGATTTTATTTAGACCAAGTTATGTCAAGAGAACTGAGTATCTAAATGCAAAAAGAAGTGGGTGGGGGGTGAGGGTCTTTGGGAACCACAGCCTGTCCTGTTCTAGAAAAGTGAGGTCTCACACTGATCACGCACCGTGAAAATGGTGCCCCCACTTTCTACGTGGGCATGGAGGCCCTGGGTGAGTGGGGCAGTGTGTTTTCCAGCTACTGAGTTACCCTTGTTATCCTTGGCAGAGCCCCTCCAATCATAGGGTACCTGCCCTTTGAAGTTTTGGGGACCTCAGGCTATGACTACTACCACATTGATGACCTGGAGCTCCTGGCACGCTGCCACCAGCACTGTGAGTACTGCACCCCAGTCCCGGTGCTGAGGATGCCTGAGCTCTCTCATGGAGCCCGGACAGCGGGCTTAGCCCTGACATCGGATATTTGGTGTCTTTGCGTTCTCTGAAATCATCTGGGAGTTACTGTCTGCACTAGCCTGGTGCTGTCTGCACCTGAAATTGACTGTTCTTCCTGGCCCCATGCCAGCACCTCCTAGTATCCCTCAGATAGGCCAGTAGTCAGTTCATCTTAAGAAAGGAAGACAATGCTGGTCACTGTTTCAAGTTATGCAGTATATTTCACAGACCAAAAAATGATTTTGCATACATGGGTGAATTGGTGGTGGGAAGTCCACAGGGATTATGACCGAGATGGAAAAATGTACAAAATGAAGAGTGATGTAAAAAGTATATTTATATATAATTAAAAAATGATTTTGCATAATTATGCTTTATGTAGCAGATAGACATTGGTCACAAACTACAGGCCAGATACTAAGGGAGGCCCGGACATAAAGATAATTGACTTGGAACCTCCTTGTTGCCCTTCAGGGGCAAGGTCCAGTGGAAGAGCCAGAAACAGGAAGGGAGGTTTCAGTGTACTGAAGGGCTGTGCACAGCTGGGGAGCAGGCTCAGGGAAGGTTCTGTGCCACAGGAGTGTGCAAAACGCTGGCAAAGGTATGAGCGAGAAAATTCATTGGGGAGGGGCTGCAAGAACAGGGTTCCCATTGGGCAAGAAGAGTAAAGAGCGAATGATATGATCATGTCAAGTCCTATCTGTGAACAGGAATATCTGTAGTAATATTAAACTTTGGACGCCGGCACATGACCTGACCACAGACTTCACATTTGGATAAATGCCTGTGCGTAGCGTCCATTATAGTTTGCTCATCTCTGCTGTTCCTGTTGCTAGAAAAACAGACCTTAGTTTCATCAGGATTCACTGTTAGAATTGACGCCTGTTCTTTAAAACTTTAACTCCTTGCTCTTCAAAGTGTGGTCCTTGACAGCAGCTTGGGGATCATGAGAAGTTGGCTGGACATGGAGCTTCTCAGCCCCCCCACCCCAATCAGGCCACTGACCAGAACACCCACCTTGACAAGATCCTCAAGTGATTCTTTGGCACATGAAAATTTGAGAAGCAAGGCGACTTCTGCCCTTTTGATTCTTCTAACAGAGAAAGGCCATCCTGGCGTAGAATTTCCTTCCTCCTCTGAAGCACGCGCCACGTGGCTCAGCAGGATATTCTCACTCTGTCAAGTCCACACCCCTGCTTGGCTGAGCTCCCTCCTGTTCAGATCTCAATCCCAAGTCTCCCATGCCTTTGGTGGCTTTCTCCAACTAGTTGTGGTTTCTCCTAACTCTTTGCATAAAGACGTGTTACCTTTCGGGCACTGAGCGGTAAAGCCCATATTGCGCTTGCTCCTTGACCCGATGGTCCAGCTTTCTTTCCCTCTAGGCTAATAAGCCAGCAGCACCCATCCTACTCTGGACACTGAGAGAAATGCACTGCAGACTCTGCTGTAAGTGCTCAGCCTGGGAGGGAACACACCACCACAGCAGCCTATTTTAGAGCTCTGTAGACTAAGGATGAACTGCTGAGTGACAGCTACAGAATCCTTCCAGAGGTGGCGGCTGTCAGGTCTATTTTCAGCTCACTTGTCCCGGTGTCTAAATTCTCTCTCCTGTGCTCGGCTCCTGCAGATCCTAAGGCAGCTTCTACCCGCGGCAGGAGGATGAACACCAGTAAAACCTCGGTCTCATATTAATTCAACTCCGGTTTGAGAATCTGTGTGCATCTGCTCTTATTCGAGGCTCCCTTTGCTTTTGGGGAAAGAGTGTGGATTGTCATTCCACTAAGAATTCATTATCCATTACTGTTATCCTGACAGTCACTTAAATTACAGCCCACTTGAAGAAATAAGCAATATTTGGGATTGTCTTTTGGAATGCTTGCATATTTACCGGTGACTTTTTAGAAAAAGGTCATTTTTGTAGTAAGGCTCATTAAAGGCAGATTTTATTTTCTATTCACAGTAATGCAGTTTGGCAAAGGGAAGTCATGTTGCTACCGGTTTCTGACCAAAGGCCAGCAGTGGATCTGGCTGCAGACCCACTACTACATCACTTACCACCAGTGGAACTCCAAGCCTGAGTTCATCGTGTGCACGCACTCCGTAGTCAGGTGCCGCAGGGCGGGGGC